CATGCACATGTGTAATTTGCATGGAAATAAATGTTACAAGTTATTGCTGTTGTTTTCTTGTCTAAACACTTACTTATTAAATATATGCATATGTACATGGAACTTGTTTGAGACACATGTACACACTGTTATCAGACAAATTGTATTGTTGGTAACTCTTAATTTCAAGCCTAAAACTGTCATGACTTTGTGTCACAGGTAGGCTCAGAATGCAACATTTATTTCAAAATTATCTGGGGAAGCATGCCCCAGGACCTCCATAGCTTGGTACACGCCAAGAACACGTACATTGCCCAACTCCTTTAATATCCATATACACTTCCTAATTTTTTTTTTTGCACTCCCACAATACAATCAATGTTAGGCTAAAACACTGATGGAGAGGAAACACTCATACGAGACCACATCACATCTTAACCAGATATACTATTGGCCCACATGGAGCAAAAATGTGTGGTTTCATAATCAAAGGGTGGAACAAGGTAATTTCAAATCTCCACTGAAGAGAAATGTGTGTAGTGTGGCTAGGATGTGTCAGACTATACGTGGGAGGTCAACTCCAGTCCAGACAAGTAGCACCGGGAGGAACTTGACCGACCCATGGCAGGAGGTGGTTCCTCAACCATTCATCTCATGTCTAGGAACCAGAAAGGAAGAGGGGCTTCCATTCCTAGAACCTCAACCATCATTTGCACAAATCCAGCACAACCTGCAACAATGAACCCCAGGAATGTACATCTGGATGACATGAGGAAGGTGAAAATGCAACTTGGATGGTCAATTCCAGTTCAAAGTCAATCGGCATTGGGGATATAACATCCAGGCTGTGGTAGGAGGAAGTTTGCAACTCACTCACATGTGAGGACTTATGTTGGCTGGTCCAGCTTCAACCAAAACCAGTCACCCAGGAACCAACATCCAGAAATATAGATGAAATAATTCAGTCCAGACCAGTGGCAACCAGAAAGAAAACATCAGACCTATGGCAGAAAGATAATCACTCTTTCTACATAGGCAGAACACAACCTCTCTATTTTCGATTGAGTGGAATTATGCACACTCAAGAGGATTCTTCCATGATCCACTACCCCAACGACTAGGAGGAGGTAAGTGGTAAGGACTCCAGTACTTCACTGGAAGAATGTGGGGGAGGGAGGGGGAGGAAAACATGTTGGAGAGTCTAGAGGAATGCATCACTAGAGAAAGTGCAATGGGTAACCACAAAACACTATTTTGAAAAGCAAACTGTTCCTGATTCAGCAATCTAAGGAACATTAGAGATGGGCAGCAATCTTTTTCTGCTTTACTCATGTTAGTCCAAGAGTGTACAGTCTGGTACACACATATATGATGCAATATGCCACAAGGAAGAACCTGCAAGTAGTCTTTTGAAACACTTTATATCCACAGTGAGCATTATAGACCTAACAGTTCTCAGGGCGCAGATTTGAGATATCAGTATATCTGTACAGGCATCATTCGCCACATAGCTGGATCCTTAACTTGTAAAATAGGACCCCGAAATAAATATGGAGAAATGAAATAAAAAAACTTACTCACTCAGCGTTGCACCAATGCATGGAGAATGGCTACAGTGAAAAGCCGATATTTAGTTGTGCAGGAAACTGATAGATGGTACAAGTAGTGTGACTCAAAAGTGTAGGGAGTGGTCTATATGCCAGCCTAGATAATCTCCTTCAAAGGGCTACAGAAATGAGAAGCCAAGGACACTGTGAGGTGACAGAGCTGATGGGACGATACACAGAACACTTGGAAACATTCAGGAGAAAGTGAGGAATATGTAATATGGATAAGTTGACAAACCCAACCAGTAAGGGTGATAGGAGAAATATCATGAGAAATGGACAGCTTCCAATGGATAAACAACACATAACACAGTAAAGCACAGACCAGACACGAGACAATCTGGATCAGAGCTGGGGTAAATACAGGACATAGAATGAGAAGGGAAATAATTGGAGAGGAAATCCCATGGCAAAAATGAAAGGTAGATGACAGGGCCACCCTATAACCCGCAATGATTGAAAAGGACAGATTCTTGTCAAACAACCATGTAAAAAAATCAGATACTTGAGGAAGAGAAAAAATCTATGACTGATATACCTATGACAGAATATTCTCTGCTTACACTGATACACAGATATGGATGAGGAATGGACAGTGTGAGACAACTGGGATGCTACACCTGTGGATAGTCCCAAACCCCTTGCAAGGGACTGGAGAAAAGCCATGTGTGAAGCTGGAGTGTAGGAATGGAGGGATGAAGTACTCCTGAATGAGGTTGCTGGAGAAGGGACCAGGAGAGATGGAAAGAACAGAGGTAGTTCTGGAGAAGGGACAAAAGGGAGCCACAAGAAGGACCCAAAACAGAGTGGATTTGATGAGAGAAATTACTCAGGGTTGAAGGTGGATGGGAGAGTATGTACAAAGGCTGAATGCATGCATGGCCAAAGCCAAATGATGCAGAACTACAGAAGAAATGAGAGAAAGCTTGGAATTCCAATGAATCCAGTTGAGGAAAATCCGAGAACATAGCTATCGGAATACCTGGAGTTGATAAATCACTCCTTAGGTAGAATCTTGTCAGGAAGAGACAAACGATTCGTAACAAGAATGAGGGCATCTGGCACTTGACAAAGCCTCCAAATGAATTTGATGACAGTGAGCTTGGAATCTAAAGACTGGGGTTGAGTGCTACTTTGACTGGTGAGGTAAGAGACAACCGGTTGAGTTGTCGGAGGGAATCATAACTGTCATGAACCGCAGAGATGACAGAAAGTGAACCATCGCTCAATGAACAACAAGGAGTTTCAAAAGGTTGATGTGAAGACTTAACTCCTCCTGAGACCAACAGCCCAAGAGCTTCTGCGCATTGCAGCATGCACCCCCATCCTCACAATGAGGCATCTGTAAAGACATGGATATCTGGAAAGGAGGAGGAATAGGAACCCCTACTGTCCTGTTCTCTCTGTCTGACCACCACAGGAAGTCTGACTGAAGAGAAGCAGGAAGGGATATCTGTAAATCCAGGGAGTTCCTGAAGACAAGCCATTGATCTTGTAGTCCCCATTGCAAGAAATGCATGTAGGTACAGCCTAGAGGGATAAGAGTCCCCAGTGATGCCTTAATCTTCAAAAGTGACAGAACCTTTAATGCAGGGAGAGAAGATGCTGATAGTTCCCTCTGAACTAAAACCTCCTTGGATCGCAGACGAAAAGGAGAAGGCTGGGTTCGACTGGGATGTGAGTTGAAGAAAAAACCCAGATGAACAAGATACTGAGTGGGGTGGATAATGGATTTTTCCACCATGATAAATCAACCCATCTGAGCAGATTATCTGAACAGAAGTTATATGTGTGTGAAGGACAGAGCCAGAAGCCAGTCATCCATATAAAGATGGAAATTGAGTCTGCAAAAATGTAGCAAGGAGAAATGACCAGGTCACACAACATAAAACATAGGGAGTTGATGTCAGCCCGAAAGGAAGAGCTCGAAACTGATAAATGTGATCCTCATGGACAAAGCATAGATAACAATGTGAAGCCCAAGCAATAAGTATGTGAAGATAAGCATCAAATCTTGTCATCCAAAGCCTTGGATGAAATAGAATTCACCATCAAATAAAGAAATTCAACTCAATATTGGATTATAAACAATATTTTGAAATGTGAAAATCAGTAACTGAATATTTTCAAAACATAATAAAGAAGAGAAAAAATTTTTGAAATCAAGCACTAGGTCATGCCAAACTGAAAAGTGAACTGCAATAAGAGGGTTTGTCGCAGTCCTATTGGTGGAGGACTGTTGCATGCTTAAATGCAGCTGAACCACAGGGAATTAGATATGAGTTTCAAAGCTAGTGGTGAGCAAAAATTTGTGCAATAGAGGGCAGTCAAGTTGAGAATAGCTGTAACTGTAAGAGAGAGGTAAGTAATCATATCAGAAATATACTTTTGAACTCATACAAATACTGTTTAGATAGATATGACTGATAAGAGCTGCATGCAAACTGTTTAGCAATCAAGGCTCTTGAAATTTTACTCTTGTGAATGTTCACCTATTTCACAATCAATATCTGAACTACTCTTCCAGAAAAATAACAAGTGAAAGTATAGAAAATGTATAGCAATATGTCAACCACACTATATCTGCTACATCCAGTGTGGACAAAGCCTTTTGCCCAATACCATGCTTTGCAGCTTATACAGATTACAGCACAAAACTACACATAATTTATTATTTGTAACTGAGTATTTGGTTTATAAAGTTTTGGAATAATAAGTAAATGGAAGCTGAAGTTATACAATGAAAAAAAGCTATAAACACCTTTTTGGTGTATTTGTTACTTTTTTACACTATGGTATAATGCAAAGTTTCACTTATAAATATATATATTTCTTTTAGAAATGTTTCACTCACACTTTATGAAAACAGCTATAAACATGTTTTTGAAGCATTTGTTACTTTTTTACACTACAGCATAATGCAGAGTTTCACTAATATATATTTTATATATGTTTCACTCACGTAATAATTTAACATACAGTAGCAATTATAATACACACCCAGAAATTATTTGTAACTTGGCACTGCAATAGGGCATACCATTCCAACATTAATGAACACTGAGAGAGAAAGCTTGATAATGGTTACAGTCACTACACCTCTGAGGTAAGTGAATGTCTAGATGATAAAAGTAAGACCTCAGTGTCTAACTGTTAGAAACGTTTTAAAACAAAACTAAGCAGTAGACATTCTATGATAGGGCATACCATTCCAACATTAATGAACACTGAGAGAGAAAGCTTGATAATGGTTACACCTCTGAGGTAAGTGAATGTCTAGATGATAAAAGTAAGACCTCAGTGTCTAACTGTTAGAAACGTTTTAAAACAAAACTAAGCAGTAGACATTCTATGATATATTTTCAAATATAAAGAACACAATAATGAAGGTTCTTATATGACAAAAGTCCTCACCTGTTGATTTCCTCTTGTCTGTTGCTCTATCATATCAGCTTCTCGATGCATACCCAATGAGCGATAATACTCTATCCATGCAGCACTGTAGTCTGCTTGGCCACCTGCAGCTGTTACTGTGTAACATAAAGAAAAAAGCAGAATAAAAATGAAATTTATTACAATTTTTTTTTTTTTTTTTTTTCTAGAAACAGTTTAGTAACAAATGCTTTGTACCATCTTATAACAATTGTACAAAATCAACATAAATTGCTATTCTTATTAAAAAAAAAAAGTTTTAACCTATAAAGAGTATAGATAAAGTATACATCAACTGATTTCAGTTTTAGCAAGAGGAAATAGCTTAGAAAGATGTTTGTCAGTTTTGAAAGAACCTATATATCTTACATAGTTTTATAGTCACTGTATTTTAAATGAGGTAATACTACACTGGATACTTACTAGTATGTGTAGTTTGATGTGGCTGAGTACTCTGCTGATTTGGCTGCTGAGCTTGTGTTGGCTGCTGGGTTTGATGTTGTGCCTGTTGGTTGTAGTATTGGGCATAATAAGCAGCCCAAGCAGCAGCATTAGCATCTTTATCTAAATAGAAAGAATAAATTATATTTCCAGATCTGTTGGGCACTGTATTAGACCTTTAAAAAAGTATTTTTTAACAATGAAGTGAAACTTTGTGAAAAGGTATAAATTCTAGAACTTGGAGATGTACAAACACATAGGAAACATTAACCCTAAATAGCCATGCTAGTATTGCTATAGGAAAGGTACTAATCAAAAACTCTTATAACAGAGACAAACATTAAACAAAAACTTTATGTAACACTGTCAGTACAGGATATTTAATGAAGAAAACCAGACACATCATACTGCAGTGGGATGTACCAGATTAAAACAATTAACTCAAAAACACACATACTGTAAGAAATCTTTCATATTCAAACTAAAAAATACTAATATAAAATCATACTTCACTCAAACACATACGTGTATTCAATTAGTTCAGAACTTATGTTAAGATCCAAAGTTTATTAAATAAACATGACACAAATCAGGAATTTTTTCAAGTAAAATTGGAAACTGCAGGGCTCTCTTGAAACTTTTCATACAACTGGTAGTTTTTGAAAAAATACAGGTTTAAAGCTAGCATTTTCTCAACAGAAAGACTGTTAATAAAATAAAGTAACACATATATCCAGCAGAGAACAAGTTAACCCTCTTGCCAAAAGCAGGTGAAAGAGTGCATGTCAGGACTTTTAAAGTTACATTCAAAATTTAATTAAACAATTATTTTCTGTACATAGAATTGTTTACTTTGCATCTAGTTCAAACTTTATTTCCAAGGAAAACACAGTGATGAGCTTTACTGAATTTTTAATGGCTCGTATCACATAGTTAGAAAGCCAAAAAATTATGATGGTTAAAGGACATTGCCTGGTTTTTATGTATTATTATTCTGTGTTCTTAGGTGCATTATTTAATTAAATAAAACATTATTTATTGTAGTAATAACATTAGTATAAAAAATAAGTTTAATTTCATTGACAACAGGTAGATACTATATTTCTAGTTTTTCATATTATTTCTTTATAATTATAAAAGTAACTAGAAGGTAAAAATTAAAACTTTTTAGGTTAGATTAGGTAAAATAAAGAACAATAATAATGTTAATAACAATTTTTTATGAGGTATGTTTGTAAATAGCTCGTGTTACAGAATTTGATATGGTAACACGTTACATGTTCAACAAGCTATTTACAACTTGTATGATGAGATTATTAGTTAGAAATGGTTCAAAGGGCAATAAAACAATAAAATTTAAATATAAACAGATGTATACTCTTACAAGCTATAAGCTATTTATGATAAACAACTGTAGTTTAATGTTACAATTTAAAGTCATTCAAGAAAGAAAAAAAAGAGTAAGTTAGATTTATTTTGTATTTTTTATGGTGGTTAAGAGCTCATTAAAATTGACTGAATGTGTATAAAGATAGGACAGAGAAAATAACATAAGCTACATAGGTTTAATGGGGAAAAAAGTGAAATTTATTTAGAAGGTTTTTAGAAATTACACAAATGAAATCTGACAATTTTCACATGACGAAAAGTACTTTTAATCTTAACATAAAAATCACTTTTCACTCGATATATGCACCGAGAAATGTTTAGTTAAACCCGTTCATTAAGAATTCTAATTTTCTGTGTATAAAATATGTGTAATGTTTACTGAAAGCTTGCAAAATTTCTTGAATATACACAAATAATACTAAAAGTTATAGTATGAAGACTCTAAAGGTCAAAATTTGGTCACAAACTCAGTTGAATTGACTGAATCTGTAGCAAGAGTTAAGCTTGTTAATGTGTCACTTAAGCATTTTTTTCAGACTATGGCTGTGTATGATCTTCATAAATTTCCAGAGAGTATGAAGTTTTAAAATTCTATATTAATACAGACTAACTTATAATTTGTTTTTAAGGACATCTAACTAAAAATATAATAATGCTTTAAGTCAATTCTACTATTCTTATTCAACATAAGAATCAAAATTTGTCTGTTGCTATTACACATCTCGTTTTAGTAGAAGTATTTATATTTAAAAAAATTAACTTTCATCTTTTGAAAAGGATATTTCAGTTTCCCACTGTTTCGTTTTATCAGTTCTCACTAATCAATTAATTGTTCAATATTAATAGCTTTTTCATTTTATGACTCATCATTTCATTTCATTGTCAGAACTAATGTACAGAAAATCATGATCAATAAGAGATTTCCTGCAAGAGTATTTATTTTTTATAATGAGTCAAGTATAAAAGTCACTCTTTGTGACATTTTTATACTATTATTTGCTAATTTGTTGATTTTTTTGCAAAGCTATTGAAAAGCTATCTGCACTAGCTCTTCCTAATTTAAAAATGACAGACTAAAGAAAAGGTAGCTTGTCAACACTACCACTACCCACCATCAACTATTGGGCAACTCTGGACCAACAAAAAGTGGGTTTGACTGTCACATTATAATGATTCCGTGTTTGAAAGGGCAAGTATGTTTGGTGACAGGATTTGAACTTGTGACCTGAAGATTATGAGATGAGCATCCTAACCACCAAGCGATGCTGGGATTGCATAATACTGAATCACAAATAAGTCACATGAACCATAAACCTATTATTGTATGTATAAAATAAAGATGTTCTGGTTTTACTACCACATCAAAAGTATTTTAATAATTTCTTTTCAATTATGTTATTAAATCTACAGAAGCATCATTCTTATTCCTTTAAGTTTCAAACATAATTGCACAAAAATGTAACTGAACTTACTTGGATCATTAGGCTGATTTTGCCACTGTTGGTAAGAATTACCCCATCCTTGTGGAGCATATGGCTGGGAGGACTGTTGGTTTTGCTGACTGTTTATAATGTAACACACACCACTTTCAACATAATACATGGAAGTCAAGATTACACATATACACAACTAAAATTTTAGTGTAACAAATGAGCATTGTAAAATAATCTTTTTTTGTATTTTAAACATGTTTCTTTAATTTAATCAAAAATTAAGAAATGATTTCATAGACCACTGTTAAACACTAAATTATATATACACATATATTTCTGTTTTTATCTAATTTCTGAACATTCCTAAACAGTAAATCTATACAGGCTGGGTTCACTTGGATATGTATATATCTATTGACACATCTCAAAGCCTCAAATTCAACAAGTGATAGCCTATACTTAGATGTATATTTGTGAACTTTCTTATTTCATTTTGACCACCAGCTGCCAGTCAATACCAATTTACAATAAAAAATAAATTGTAGCTACAATTTTTCATTTATATGCAATATTAAATTTTATTTTTAGGAAGTTTATGTCATATAACAAATTATATCACAGGGCAAGTAGTACTGGTGGCACTTGGTTGTATATAAAACATTATATAATAACAAAGAGTCAGAAAACTTTATTCATCATTCAGAAATTATTTAACAATGAAACTGACTAATCATTAATAATTATGTGGTTCTTAAAGTTTGGAAGACAGCTAGTACTCTTATATCTAAAAACAAAATAAAATCCCAAAATAAATGGTGTTCAAGGTAAACTTCTTAATACAATCAACACTGGTTACAAAGCAATGTATCACTTCTATAATACCAATAGCAAATTGGGAAACGAAACTGAAACTAGAAGGTATACTGTTATCAATACTCTTAAAGTTAACATCTGAAAAAACTTGTATTGCATGATGATAAAAAAAACAACAAAAATTCTGTTCTGAACAATCAGGATGACAAAGAAATGTTTATTTCCAAGTTCTACAGAGGGTTGTTCCCAATCTATAGTAGCAACATTAGGGTGAATGGAAGTGTTTTATATGATGGCCATTATTACGAACTACTGTTTTGCAAAGCACTGCTTTCCCCTTCTTCTTACATGCTTTGTTTACGAAGCTTATGAACTATGCTCACCTGAGCAACCCACAAGCCAAAAGTACAGAAAGTTATGAGAGATGTCTGTGAAGGGTATTGCATGAATTTCCATTTGTATCTGAATATTGTGCAAGAACTAGCATATTGGGTATAAATTTGGCTAGATGTTTTGTTTTGATGGAGTCATACCTTAGTGGCATCCAATCCTTACAAAGATGGTATTTCCTCATGGTATATAGTGGTTTTACAGTGTTAGACAACATTACGCAGCACTCACTTTAGTAGTTTAACTTACCATTATAGCCGAAACCAGCAACCATCCCAAATCCCTTAGAAAGTTTTGTGATGTACCATTCTCGAAACTTTGAGTCACAAGCATGAGAACAATAAATTGCCCAGGCTTTTCTACACAATTAAGTAGACACAGGTTTTGTTGAATATGCTAACAAATTTCCATTTCCAATATGCCACATATCATTTGTATGTTTTAACAGTTGTATGCTTTTGGGCATGGATCACATGTCACTTTTGTTGACCTAAATTCTTATGAACTATCTGGTTACAGTTCCACAAGAACAAAGGAATATAATGGACGATTGACTTCTTATGTTACTTTCAGTGATAAGCTGTTTAACTTTCACTACATCCAGTATGCAGCAGGTTGCCAGTTGCAGAGTAGTCTGTTTTTTTTTCTTCTCTCACAGATGTCTGCCCTTGCTTTATCAACATGGTTCAATGCTACAGATATTCTTTTTTTTTAAACCTTTGACCACATAATTAGATTTCTTAGATTTCAATGTCATTTCTCCATCAAAAAACATTGTAAAGTAGCAATTATTTTGACTTATTAAGTCACACATTGCATATATTGACGTTATGGTGTCAATAACTTACCTAAATTATGGTAAAAACACAAACAAAATACAAAAATTAGCCGATATCTGTGTGTGTGGTATGGGTGATTCGCACTGTTTGCACAGAGCTATCAAATACAAAATGAGACCAGTCCTGCCACACTCACTTGTCTCATCCTCTCTTTAAGGATTTATTAATAGTTCTCTCTTATGTTTAATTATAAATTACCTATAACCAACAGAAAGCCAAGGTTTTCATCTATCAAATGACATATTATATTATGTTGTGTTCTTAAGAGATAATTTTCAATTTCACTTGTAATACAACTTTGGTTCCCATGGGAATCACAATGGCTAGCTTGGATGAAGTGTAATGGTTCTTGTCTCACAGTTAGAGAGCCGGAAAAATTGTGATTGTTAGAGGTTTGTGTGTTTGTATGTTTTGAATTTCGCGCAAAGCTACATGACAGCTATCTGTGCTAGTCGTCCCCAATTTAGTAGTGTAAGACTAGACGGAAGGCAGCTAGTCATCACCATCAACCGCCAACTCTTAGGCTACTCTTTTACCAATGAATAGTGGGATTGACCATCACATT